TTTGAAAAGAAAAAATGTTTTATACATCATGTTACTTTTACTTATTTTTTTAGACTTTTTTTTTAAAGAAGGCCAATGCAATTACTACAAGCAAAATGTTTAACTCTTTAATATTGTTATTGTATGCTCGAATTAACAAGAGTATTAAAAAATTATTCACATTTTATAACAAAAAGAAAAAATATTTTATGTAACAGTAAAAAACTCACACAAAATCAAAAGTAAAGTGTTTTTTACAATTAAAAATAAAAGAAAGAAATTCGAGTACATCGCTAATTAGCCAATTCAAAACAAAATATTTTCATTAATAAAGCCGTAAAAAATTATTAGGCACCGATATTAGTGGATGTGTATTATCGATTTAAGCCTCCAAATTCATTCTGAATACGTCCATAATTCCTATTGTATTAGAAATAATAGTAAATACAAGTATAACATCAAATAAAGGATTTGGGAGTCGAGCCAAATATTTATGCTACATAATAATTAACAAGATTTATTAAACATTGCCAAATGTTTCAAATAGTAAATATATTTTGAATACATATAGCTGGTCTTCTGTTTCCATCACATTATCATTAACCAACATTGTTTTGCGTACAATGTTTACAGTATAAGGAATTCGAAAGAATTCGACAGTCATTAGTTCAAATGAAAATTCTTGTAGAAGAAATAATTAATTCTCAAATATTCATTATGACTATTATAAATATATTGATGAAAATTTTTGAATACTTATGACTTTTCAGTAAAACATTTTTCATAATACAAGTTTATATAATCTTTAGATTATATAATCTAATCTTAGGTTATATAATCTATCTTTCTTCATCTACTCAATTAACATATTGTTTGATTTCGATTTTTCGACTTATACGTAAAGTTTTACTCTATATATATAATAATAATCGGAGTTAAGAACGTTTATAAAAATAACAGTTATCATTATTTTTTAAATATTGCCATTATCGTTTCAGCTAAAAAAAAAAAATAATGATCGTTTACTAAAAAGAATACGGATAATATGGTAATAACGATGTTACAAATTATTTTTCAATCCTCATAATAAGTGTACGCAAAAAACAGAAATCTTATTACATACGTAAAAACCGAGGTCTTACTCTCGAAAAATAATACATATGAAAATATTATGGTAAAATATTCGAATAGTTTTAAACTTTTAAACGTAATGAATTGTAGTAAAGTTAAGTTTCAAGTTATCAATGTATAATATTTACGTGTGTATAATATATTTACGTAATTTATTAAAATACAAACAATTACAAACAATTACAAAATTTTTGAAAAAACAAGATTATATAAGCTTTTGATCAAGTAAAAGCACTTATTCGTATTGATAAGCACACTAATTGGATTGTCCGGAAAGTTCGTGCCGGTGTTGAAGGAAAATTGAACGCAGAAAATTTAAATTTTATTGTACATTTATTAAATTATATAGGTTAGTCGGCACAAACTTTCCGGACAACCTAATATTAGGTATAGTAAAAAGAAATCCATTATTTTTCCATTCAATTTCACAAAAATAATGGATTTCTTTTTACTACACCTAATATGATATGTTGTATTTCAAAAATTGAGTAAGGTAATACCAATTTTCTGAAATCGTACATTAAGCAAATTTATAATAATCTTTACGAACCTTTAGTGTGACAAAATTACAAAACAGTAAAATCCATTATACCTACTATCCGTGATAGTAAGCTCGACAATGATCGGAAAAAGAGGAAATCTTTCCGATGAAAACATCGTTATAAACTGTTTGCGCATGCGTTTCAAAAACTTGATGCAATCTTAAATTCGAACGTAACTGCCCGATTTCAAAATTTTCAAAAGATATCACGTGATTTGGTTGTGTCGGAAAAGCAGTTTTCTATTATTTCCCCAAGAGATTTGACGATTAAAATTAGACTTTATAAGAACATTGATTTAAAATTGTGAATTTTGAGGAATACAACACACTGAGAGAAAGGATTTTGTTAATTTAGCAAGTCAATATCTTTAACCGGTGATCGGTAAATATGTGACAACAAATTTTATAGTTGTGTTTACTGCTAGTCTGCTATACCAACCAATTATTAGTAACAGAAGCAAACTATATAGAATCTAACCTATCTTTTGGATAGATTTTAGGCTCGTTTACATAGAATCCGTAGATAATCGTAGAGTCTTAAGTCGTAGGAAACCGACCAAGTCAAATGTAGGAAGAATACTTGACTAAAGTTGGTCAATTTTTTACGATTTGGGATCCTGCAATCGTCTATTTTTATATACATATATATATATATATAT